TTCTCCAGGTATTCTGCAGAAGGTATTCTACACAGTTTGTGTAGTGAACGTTTGAAGTTACTACGGCACTGGGGGAAAAAAAGTGACTTATATCCATTTTTCATGCTTAGCATCTCCCTGGTCACGGGGTTTATATACGGATATTTGACAAATGGTTCATATTTATGACAGTCACAGAGCCATTAGGGTCTGTGATGACCCAAAGGGGCGTGACACAAAAATAATGAAGTCACAAAAGTAGAATAAATTCCCTTTCATGCCTCCAACTTGGCCCCAGTGTCCAATTCTCCTCGGCTGGAGATCAAACTCTTCCAAAAACAGTCTACGAAGTGCAGAAATGCAGTCTGAACCCAAAGATAACCAGAAATTTAAAAAAAACCCAACACAAACCACACTGAAGTAATTAACACGGCAGGCCAGGATGAAAGATTGCAGACTTTCAAAGGATAACGCAGCACCCACAGTTGGGAGGACACCAAAACCCAGGTAAGCCTCCACAAAGATAATGCATGCTTTGCTTCCAGCAAGGTGCTATGTGCAAACACCCCTCTTATATCCTGTTCTCCCAGCTGCAACTAATGAAAGGGATCAGGGCCCTTTTTTCTCCCGCAAGCCAGGTTGATCCCTTCTCCGTTCCTCCCAGCGTGCCCCATGATGAAGAGGGGGTGGGCCTGGGTCTTCCTCTGCATGCCCAGCCGGATTGTGCCCTTCTCCTGTTTCTTCCACAGCCACTGGAGCCACACTCCCACTCCCTGGCAGCTGCTCAATCTCCCCCTCAGAATCAGACTCCAACAAAGGGGTGACAATGCCCAGAGTCACAGGGTTTACATACAGATGCTTGACAAATGGTTCATATTTATGATGGTCAGTGCCGTTGGGGTCCCGAGATTCCCTTTGGCATCCTTTTGATGAGCAAACTCAACGGGGGCAGCCGGATTCACTTAAGAACCATATTAATGGATTCACTTAACATCCCTGTTACTAATTTAACAACGGCAGCAATTCCTTTCAACCAGGGGTTGAATTCTAGGAGTTGAAGTCAGCCAGGCTTCAAGTGATCAAGGTTGGAAGACTCCTGCCTTAAACAACGGTAGCAAGAACAGCTGTAAAAATGGGGCAAAAAACCAAATTTCTCACTTAGCAATATTAGAATTTGGGGCTCGGGGTGGTCATTAAGCCGAGGACCACCTGTGATTCCTTTTTTTTTTTTTTTTGCTTCGGTGAAAAGATTCAGAAAGCAAACAGTTTGTTAACTGAAGCTGTTTGTTCCCTTCTCCGACGTAACCCCACACAGCGCACCGTTGATACACCGGGGGAGGTATAAATATCCCTTGCGTAAACATCAATTACGGTAACATGAATAAGCTTCCAGTCCTCGAAGCTTATAGCAAACATGCAAAAGGAGAAGGATATTTTGCAATCCCCTGGCATATTCCCCCCACCCCTGCTGCTAAATAACTAGTCCCTGCAACAAATGTCAAACCACCTAGGCAGGCAGGAGTCTCATTTATCTCACCGTTATTCTCATCTTCTCCTTACAGCCCCAAACGTATGTTGCTAAGTGAGAAGCTTTGCTCAATGAGTTTTCCCCCCCGCCTTTTCCTGCCACATTTAAGGGGAATTGCTGCGGTTTTCAATTGCGAAACGTGGTCGTTATGTGAATCTGGTTTCCCCACTGACTTGGGCAGAAAGTGGAACAACAGAATTGGAAGGGGCCTTGTAGGTCATCTAGTCCAATCCCCCCCCCTCCCCTCGCTCAAGCAGGAGACCCTATATAACCGTGATGGCAAACCTACGGCACGCACGCTACAGGTGGCATGCAGAGCCATTTGTGCCGGCACGGGAGCCGCAGGCAAACTTACCTCACTGTGCATGTGCACGCCTCACAGCTGATTATAGGCCGGCTTGAGGCCTTTTTCGGCCTCCCAAAGGCTTCAGGAAGGCTTCTACAGGCCGAAAACCAGGCCCGTTTTGTCGCTTCCTGTTTTTTTCCGGAAATACTGGAAGTGACGAAACGGGCCTAGTTTTTGGCCTGCAGAAGCCTTCCTCAAGCTTCTGGGAGGCCAAAAAAGCCTCAAACCGGCCGAAAATCAGCTGTGAGGCGCAGTGCAGGTAAGGGGTGAGAGGACTGCATGCGCATGAGTAGGGGGCGTGGGGGGGGGGCACGCATTGCTTTCTGGGTGGTGGCACGTGAGCGTGTGCACACAATTTTGGGCACAGGAGCCCCAAAAGATTAGCCACCACTGCTATATAACAAAAGGGGATCCCGTGAGCCCGGGATACCACAGTTGTTAAATCGGTAACAAGGTTGTTAAGTGAATTTGGCTTCCCCCATTGGCTTTCGCTGGTCAGAAAGTTGCAAAAGGGGATTGCATAACCCCCGGACACTGTAACCGTCATAAATATGAGACAGTTGGCAAAGATCTGAATGTAAATCACATGACTGTGGAAATGCTGCAATGGATGTAACTGTGAAAAATGGTCATAAGTCGCTTTTTCCCCCGTGGCGTAGTTAACTTCGAATGGCCGCTAAGCGAACTGTTGTAAGTGGACGATGGCCTGTACTTCTAAGGCAATTTCTGGTTTGTTTTTTTTAAATAGGTACATAATTTTTTTTTAAAAAAACCAACCTTGCACATCGAATTAACTTTTAAAGGCCAGGTTGGAAAATGGCTCTTTATAGATTTCTGAAAGGGGAGAAAAGAGCAAAGGCTTAGTAGGCTCAACTCCTCCGGGGCTGCATTCCTGAGCCCGAATGCAGAGCAGAAATTTAATGCAAAAAACGAGGGGCAAAATATCAGCGTCTGAGAGGCTGGGCAGTAAAACGGAGGCGTTGAAATGCTGCGGGAAATAAATAGAAGGAAAAAAGTAGCCGAGTTAACTTTTCTGAAAACAAGCTGTGAAGGAGCCTTCCTTGGATTCACCGGCTTGCTGTCGGTTGCCAACTCAGTTGTCTTTTCAACACAGCCTTTTAACAATGGCCCAGGAGATGCTTGCTTAGGTACTTAAGGGAAGCCTCACAACCGCCCCCCAAACACAACAGTTTTGGGCACAGGAGCCCAAAAAGATTAGCCAACAGCACTAGACACTGCAAGAAGCAGGACACAACACCGCACCACAAAAGCGGATGCAATGACGCGCTCAAAAAGCCAGAAAAAGTGCTGTTTTGGGTTTGTTTGTTTTTAATTTAAATTGCTGTAAGAATCCGACACAATTAGCCCTCGGCCCTTGCACATTTTTGTGCAACGTGCAGGCAGTACACAACCCCAGAGACAGATGGGTGCACTCACTCTGAGATTCTGGAATTTCGGAGCGCCAAAAGGCCTAATTGCACCAAGGACGAGTAAAATACTCCTTCGAGTTGCATCAGCCAGCCTGCTTTTTAATTGCAACACTTCAAAGGTTCTTTGGCCACCAATGAAAGCACAAGGCCCCCATTATTATTCTCAGGCCGGGTTGCCCTGAAGCTGCTGGTGTGAACTGCAAACACAACTTTGTGAGGGGGAAACTGGGAGAGGCTTCCCGGGGTCTGTATAAATAGGAAGTCCACTGTCTTTTTTTTTGTGTCTTTTTTTTTCTAGGCGCATTTCCCTCTTGCTTAATTCACCGGGGG